TACCTCTGAGGGCTACTGACATGAAATGCATGATACAGACATATATATACATACACTTTTTAAACATACACCTCTGTGGGCATCATCATCATCATATCGTACCCGACCGTAATAGGCTCGATAAAAACGTAACCGACCATCATAAGGCTCGGTACAATCTTACCCGGCCACGTGCAGCTCAGTAAAACCCAACTGATCAGTAGTTGCACAATAGGTGTCGTACCCGGCCGTCTATAGCGCGGCTCGGTAGAGTAAGTAAATACATATATATAATGCATGCTGGACTTATTGGAATAATATTCTGAACCTTCTTGAGTGAGTAAGGTCGGTATCCTCTGTACACGTTATTAGGAATAACTGTTCATCATGAATCTTATAAGAATCAGGAAGTACCAACAACATTGATAACATAAGAATAAGAGAAGCAACATCAACATCAATCGCTCCATAAGAAGGGAAACAATGTAAGTACTGCTAGCTTCTAAGAGAAGAGTATCTTTAGAAGCTCGTTCATTACATTATTTACAATTGGAGTCATGCAAAAGAAGGAAAGGGAAAGCCTCACATACCTTGTATATACTGCCCAAACTCAAGCTATGCAAATGTCATGACTCCTTAGTCTACAATAAAAGAAATGACATTATCGTTATCGTTTAGGCGTCGTAACTATTATGTATCGACCACAACCTATTTTACGATGAAACGGACAGAACCTCCCCTATTTTTATGACTTCGCACAAGTCAAAACAATCACCAAACAGCCCAAACAATATCAATAATTATCATATTGAGCCCTCAAAAACAGTCCAGCAACCAACAATGTTACTACCAAGCCATTCGATATATATTTCACAAGTTCTAGCTTCAATGACTTAGCCGCAACTTGGATAATATTAAATACATGTAGGGTAAGAGGTTCCTTACCTTTAAACAGAAAGAACAACTCCAATTTGACCTTAATTGTCCACGAAATATCCCTCCAATAGGAAGCGAAACTAGCAATCAACTAGGGTGTTTCGGCACTAGAATCACTTCAGAAGACTTGAAATCACCTAGGGTTGATATTAAAAACTTGAGGGAATATTTAGAGAACATAAACCCCTTAAAAAAACCCCCCACACGAGCTGGAACAACACAAAAATGAGCAACAACAAGAAGAACAAGAAATTTACTAGCGCCACGGGATTCCAGACACTTGATTTGTGTTGTTTGCCCTTTGTTTGGGTCTTGGATCATGAGGGAAACTTGAGAGAATGTTTTTAGGGTTCGAATATCTGAATACACTGAAAAATAATGACTTAAAACGGGTTTGAGGCATCTTATATATATCCATATGTCTTAAACCGTCTATGTGGGCCCCATAGAGAGGTGCTTGGCGCAGTCTCGCGAAAACACGAATATCTCTCTACTCTAAGATCATATTGAAAAATGGTTTGATGCGTTGAAAACTAGACTCATAGATATTCAATTTGGTGGGTGGATCACCCCGTAATTCCAAGTAAATTGGTAGAAAAGCTTAGTAACATTTGACCTAAAGTTTAAGTAAAATTACGAACCTAAGTTGCGACAAATTTTGACGAATTTTGTTTCATAACTCGTTTGACTTCAAGACTTATGATACGGATATTATATGATTCAAATACCTTAAAACATGACCTCTTGATTATATTAAGAACCTGTAGGTTTAACCGAAAATACGGGTTACAACATCTTTGATTCGTTTAACTTCTAATACTTGTTAACCACCCTTATACACCCTTGTATCATTTAAGACCAATAGGATTAACTTTTTATCATCTCAAAGATAATCTCTTCTTGGATTTACGTCGCTTAACTTATGGCATGAACTAACGTATGTGTATATGGTTTGTGACACCCTCCCCCCCCTCCCCCCCCAAGAAACATTTGTCCTCGAATGTAAGGGTTTATGGGGAGTCTAAATCATCGTAGGTTCCAACGGAAATTTCTGACCAAGTTTCCCCTATAAAATGGATACTAGCGAAACTTGCAAGCAGTTAAACCCAACGTATGGCCTGACAAGGCTATAGAAAACATTATGGATTTATACATTATCTGCATATCACCATTTTGTATTAAGGAAGAGTATTCTCAAGCTATTACTTACCTCATAGAGCCGTTTCACCTTCTACTGCGTCCTGCATTCCCCGGGCATCCTCGTTATCTTCATTCTGGAATAGGTAAGGGTATTCAGACTTCATCTCATCTTCTGCTTCCCATGTCATTTCTTCTATATTCTTGTTCCTCCACAATACTTTGACGGAAGCTACATCTTTTGTTCTGAGCTTGCGGACTTGTCGATGTAATATAGCCACTAGCACTTCTTCATATGATAGATCCTCTGTAACTTGCACATCTTTGATAGGGACAAATCGGGAAGGGTCTCCAATACATTTCCTCAACATAGATACATGGAATACCGGGTGGACAAATTCCAATTCGGATGGCAATCCTAACTTATAAACAACCTGTCTAATTCGTCAAAGAATTTTATACGGCCCGATATACCTTGGACTCATCTTACCCTTCTTCCCAAAACGCATAACACCCTTCAACGGAGAGATCCTTAGGAAAACCCAATCACCAACCTCAAACTCCAGATCACAACGTCGTACATCGGAATAAGACTTTTGCCTACTTTGCGCCGTTCTCAGTCGTTCTTGTATCACTTTCACCTTCTCAATGGCTTCGTGAATCAAATCAGGCCCATATAATTCTGTTTTTCCGAACTCAAACCATCCAACTGGTGATCTACATTTCCTCCCGTACAGTGCCTCGTACGGAGCCATTTTAATACTGGAATGGTAGCTATTATTGTAGGCAAATTCTATGAGTGGTAGATGGTCATCCCAATTCCCCTTGAAATCTAGAATACATCCTCGTAGCATATCTTCAAGTGTCTGAATGGTACGTTCAGCCTCTCCGTCAGTCTGCGGATGGAATGTGGTGCTGAGATTCACTTGTGTGCCTAAACCATTCTGAAAAGACCTCTAAAAGTTAGCCGTAAATTGAGATCCTCGGTCTGATATAATAGATACCGGCACACCATGAAGCCTAACAATCTCCTTGATATACATCTTCGCATAACCTTCAGTTGTGTAAGTTTTCTTAACTGGCAGAAAATGGGCACATTTTGTAAGTCGATCAACTATCACCCAGATGGAGTCAAACTTATGATAAGAGCGAGGTAATCCAATTATGAAGTCCATATTAATCACCTCGCATTTCCAGGTCGGAATCTCTATATTTTGAATCAATCTACCGGGTTTCTAATGCTCGATCTTTACTTGTTGACAATTAGGACACTGGGCTACAAATTCTGTAGTAGACTTCTTCATGTTATCCCACCAATACTGCTCTTTAACGTTATGATACATCTTTGTCGAGCCGAAATGGATGGAATATCGAGATTGATGAATCTCAATCATAATCTTCTCTCGCAACCCTGCCACATTAGGCACACATAATCGGCCCTGGTATCTCAATGCCCCATCTCCTCCAATCTCGAAAGCTGTAATTTTACACTGCTGAATGCTCTCTCTCAATCTTACTAAGGTATGATCTTCATATTGCCGTGCTTTTAATTACCTCGGCTACCAAAGATGATTCTGTTGTATTCTATACAGTAACACCTCCGTCATCAGAGTCTAATAATCTGATTCTCATATTGGCTAGCTGATGAAGCTCTTTAGTCAACCCCTGTCTACCTGCCGCAATGTGTACTAAGCTTCCCATTGACTTACGACTGAGAGCATCTGCCAAAACATTGGCTTTACCGAGATGGTATAATATCTCGACATCGTAATCTTTAAGTAATTCAAGCCACCTACGCTGCCTCAAATTCAACTCCTTCTACTTGAAGATGTATTGTAAACTCTTGTGATCTGTGTAGATATCAACATGGACGTCGTATAAATAGTGCTGCCATATCTTCAAAGCATATATTACTGCAGCTAATTCCAAATTATGGGTCGGATAATTCTTTTCATGCTTCTTCAATTGTCTTGATGCATAAGCAATCACCTTCCCACGTTGCATTAATACGCACCCCAAACCTATACCTGAGGCATCACAATATACCACATAACCTTTTGTTCCTTCTGGGAGAGTGAGCACTGGCGTGGATGCCAATCGATTCTTTAGCTCATGAAATCTTCGTTCACAAGCGTCAGACCACTGGAACTTAGTAGCTTTCTGTGTTAACTTAGTCAATGGTGCTGATATAGAGGAAAACCCTTCTACAAACCGCCTATAATATCTTGCTAGCCCTAGGAAGCTGCGGACTTCTAATGGTGTTGTAGGTCTCGGCCAATTCTTTGCTGCATCAATCTTCTGAGTGTCGATACTAATACCCTCGTCAGATATCACATGGCCAAGGAATGCTACTGAGTTCAGCCAGAATTCACATTTGGAAAGCTTAGCATATAACTTACGATCCTGAAGCGTCTGTAATTCATTGACCACAGGGATTGATTGTAGAGTAGGAGGCTTCGTCTCCGCATCCCTAACGCGAACGAGATGATAAATGTAACCTTTTGAGATGATCTTCCTTGCCTTAAGATAGGAAATAAACCTACCTTTTGGTATATAAATGTTCCCCTTCCATTCAATGACAGGTTCACCAGGAAACTGAAACCTAGCCATCTTCGTACGACAGTCAACATTTGCATAGCATAAGGCCAACTAGTCCATTCCCATTATCACATCGAAATCAACCATTTCTAACTCAAATAAATTCACCGAGGTTTGACGACTACAAATCATCACCGTGCAACCTCTATATACCCTTCTAGCAATCACTGAATCTCCTATCGGAGTAGATACCACAAGTGGTTTACTTATCAATTCAGGTTCAACGCCAAACTTATTAGACACAAAGGATATAACATATGATTATGTAGATCCCGGATTAATCAGCACATATACATCGTAAAAAAACACAGACAATATACCTATAAAACCTCCGGAGATGACTCGAGATCCTATCGACCTACTAGAGCATAGGTTCGATAATGAGCACCACTCAAACTCGGCACTGCACCTCTACCTCTACCACAACCTGTCGACGGCTGAAAACCCCGTGCTGGAGGTCGAACTGATAAGGAAGAACCAGACACAGATCCAGTCGGCTGAGACATACCACCACCTCCTCTGTTAGGAAAATCCTGCATCATGTGGCCAGGCTGTCCGCAAGAATAACAAGCATCAGAACCTCGACGACACAGTCCAAAGTGGGCCTTGCCGCACTGATCTCTCATCAGACTGGTATCTGTGATATTGTGAGCCCAATGCACGCAAATTCTGACCTGGACTAGAATAGGTAAATCGATCATATCGAGGCTCTGAAACTGAGGAAGAGCACTAGCTATAGGTGGCGCCGAACTCCTTGAAGACTGGGGCCTGACACTGCTTCTGAAGTCATCAGAATACCCTGCAAATCTTGCCCTCTTATGTTGGCCCCTATCCTGCTCCCTATCTGCCCTTTGCTGGCGCTTACGATCCTCTAGGGTCTGGGCATAAGCCTGAATACAGGATATATCCATGCCCTCCACCAAGGAGGCAGTCATGCACTCATTTATCAGATGTGGTCCCAACCCGTTCACGAATAGATGCACCCTATCGCTCATCTCTGCCACCATATGGGGAGCATACCTTGCTAAAGAATCAAACTGCATACTATACTCTCGCACACTCATATTCCTCTGTCAAAGGTTAAAGAACTTATCAGCTCTAGCTCATCATATCTTAACTGGCAAGTAGTGACGAAGAAAGGCCTCAGAAAATTCCTTCCACACAGCTAAAGGAGCATTCGAACCCCTAGATCTCTCCCAACTACCATACCAAAAAATCGCTAAATCGTATAACTAATAAGAAGCCAACTCTACTTCCTCCATATCACTAGCATGCATAACCTGTAGTGTATGATGAACCTGGTCAATAAAAGTCTGTGGGTCCTCCTTGGGGTCTGATCCGGTAAACACTAGAGGGTCTATATTAATAAAATCACGAACTCTCGCACTAACTGGTATATCAGCAGCACCTGTATTCTGCCTCTGAGCCTGAGACACTACCAAGCAAGTCAACAACTGCACCGCACTCCGCATATCCTGGTCTCTAGGGCTAGACGGAGGAACTAGTGGCGTTGGGTGACTCCTAATATCCTTTGGAGGAGACGGAGTAGATTAGGTTTGAGACGACATCTCACTCTAAACCTCACTTTGGCCTCCTCTGGCTTGGGGCACCTGACTGGTACCCTTTCCCGCAGCTGTATCAAGCCGTCTACAAATCGTTTGCTTCCTAGTCGAAGGCATCACTAAGAAAACAAGGTGAATATTAGAGATGAACACTCACGACTCAACTCTACGCACGATCTAGATTCAGGAAGAAGGTAACAACCCTAGATGTCATGTAGCCTCCTGATTATAAATGTGGCGTGCTACATATCCATAATCAAGACTCTACTAGACACGGCTCAAAGACAACCCCTAGGACATACTTGCTCTGATACCAAGTTTGTCACGACCCAAACTGGAGGGTCATGACTAGCACCCGGTCCATACTTGCCGAGCACCAACGTACATTTTATCTAACCTTCCTTGTTATCTTTAAGGTCTGACGAGATCAATATAAATGGTATACATGGATCATGAACAACCATCAATGAAAGATAATTAGCATGAACATACATAACATGGGATGACGAGACTGTCAAGAAACTATATATAAGGTACGAGCTACCACGCTGCCGTGAAAGACTATACAACAAAAATTAGCCGACAAGGCATACCAAACTATACATGAGTCGACACCTGTATATGAGCCTCTAAGGGAACATAAGTGCTGCAACATTGCCGGAATAGGGCCCCGACATACCCATAATGTCTATAACAAAATTGCATACCAAGACCACGACAAGTCCGGAGAAGGCATCTCGCCAATAACCGCTGAACTGGGCAGCCTACTGTGGTGGGAGAGCTTCGTCTACCTATCTATCAGGATTTGCAGCACGACATGCATCGTCCACAAATGAAAAGGACGTCAATACGAGTAAAGTACTGAGTATGCAAGGCAGGAAAGCATAAGCATGAACAGTAATGTAAATAAGGATAGAGAATATTAAACCTGTAACATCTAGGTACCTCAAAGGGATACTGACATGAAATGCATGATACAGACATATATATACATAAACTTTTAAAACATACACCTCTGTGGGAATCATCATCATCATATCGTATCCGGCCGTAATAGGCTTGGTAAAAACGTACCCGACCATTATAAGGCTCGGTAGAATCGCATCCAGCCACGGAAACTTTTAAAACATACACCTTGTATATACTTCCCAATCTCAAGTTATGCAAATGTCACGACTTTTTAGTCTACAATATAAGAAATGACACTATCGTTATCGTTTAGGCGTCGTAACTATTATGTATCGATCTCATTTTACGATGAAACGGACAGAATCTCCCCAATTTATATGACTTCCCACAAGTTAAAACAATCACCAAACAGCCCAAACAACATCAATAATAATCATATTGAGCCCCCCAAAAACAGTCCACCAACCAACAACGTTACTACCAAGCCTTTCGATATATATTTCACAAAATCTAGCTTCAATGACTTAGCCGCAACTTGGATAATCTTAAATACATGTAGGGTAAGAGGTTAATTACCTTTAAACAGAAAGAAAAACTCCAATTTGACCTTAATTGTCAACGAAATATCGCTCCAATGCTGCCACAAGAACAAGGAAGCGAAACTAGCAATCAATTAAGGTGTTTCGGCACTAGAATCACTTTAGAAGACTTGAAATCACCTAGGGTTGATATTAAAAACTTGAGAGAGTATTTACAGAACATAAACCCCTTAAAAGAACCTCCCACACGAGCTGGAGCAACACAAAAAAGAGCAACAACAAGAAGAACAAGAAACTTATTAGTGCCACAGATTCCCGACACTTGATTTGTGTTTTTGCCCTTTGTTTGGGTCTTGGATCGTGAGGGAAACTTGAGAGAATGTATTTAGGGTTCTAAATTCTGAATAAACTGAAAAATAATGACTTAAAACGGGTTTGAGGCATCTTATATATATCCATATGTCTTAAATCGCCTATGTTGGCCCCATAGAAAGGTGCTTAGCGCAGTCTCGCGAAAACGCGAATATCTCTCTACTCCAAGATCGTATTGTTAAACGGTTTAATGCGTTGAAAACTAGACTCATACATATTAAATTTTGTGGGTAGATCACCCCGTAAATCCAAGTAAATATGGAGAAAATCTTAGTAACATTTGACCTAAAGTTTAAGTAAAATTATGATCCTAAGTTGCGACAAATTTTGACGACTTTTGTTTCATAACTCGTTTGACTTCAAGACTTATGATACGGATATTATATGATTCAAATACCTTATAACATGACCTCTTGAGTATATTATGAACCTCTAGGTTTATCCGAAAATACGGGTTACAACATCCTTGATTCGTTTAACTTCTAATACTTGTTAACCACCCTTATACACCCTTGTATCATTTAAGACCAATAGGATTAACTTCTTATCATCTCAAAGATAATCTCTTCTTGGATTTACATCGCTTAACTTACGGCATGAACTAACATACGTGAATATGGGTTGTAACATTGCATCCTTTAAATTAATGTATTATCACTAAAAGAAAATTTTAACCAGTAATACGATAAATTGCATAAAGTCAACGTGGAGTTGAGATAAAAATATTAAACAGATCATAATAATTCAAGACACTGAATAATAAAATTCAGACTGCATTCAATATTAATATACATACATGCATCTCGAATAATAAATTTTGATGTGAAAAGAATCATTCATGCAAAGTATAATATATAATGCAAGAATTATACAATCCAACAATAAATAGAACCAACTCAGAAGAAGAGTATATTATTATTTTTAGTCAATTGTATATAACTTTTTAATACGAAATTTTTAAGCACACTACACATATATGTAATTCATGCATCTTGAATAGCAATTTCGATGGGAAAAGAACTACTCATGCAACACACATATGTAATGCCAGATTATTCACTCCAATAATTAAAATAGACCCAACTCAAGTGGAGAGTATACTGTTAATTTAAGTCAAGTGAACATCATAATTAATAGCTTTAGTTCCATTGAATCAACATGTATACTCAGATGGAGAGTAAGTACACGATATCAATTACTAGTATTTCACCTAGTGAGCTTATAATAAATTTATTCAATATGGAGGAAGACCTAAAGTCAATGCGTAAATTTATTACTCACTTGAAATTAATAGTGGAAGACCATAGAAATAGATTTCTATCACCACTTAATCATGATTGTATTTTATTTACAAAATCTATTCAACCCTTAAACTCAGATAGAGAGTCAATACAGGTTATCAATAACTAGTAACTATACCTAGTGAGTTCATAATAAATTTATTCAATATGGAGGAAGACCTAAAGTCAATGCGTAAATTTATTATTTCACTATAAATAAAAATGAAGACCATAGGGGTTAATTCCTATCACCACTTGATCACAACCACGAACTTTTCTCTGAGGATTAAGTTCCATAATTAAAAAAATTTACTCAAAACCTCATTTAAACAGTCTTAAAATGCTAAAATTAACATTTTTTTACTGCATAGCATTGAGTATTGATCACTGGACTGGTTTTGAAAGACCTATCAAAATTCAGATCAATCGGAGACCGTTAAAATCACAATCTCTAAAATTGTGACCAAATTTGGGAAATTACCATTTTAAGCCTTTTTTTAAGAATTTAAAATATGACTAACATCCTTATCATATACCAATTCATATGAAATCAACATGTATTATCATGTTCCTAATTGAACATAAATAAAATAACAGAAAGAATGACTTTTCGTATGTAATCACATTTTAATCCGCCAAACCTCGAAGAAAACTCATCTAAACGATCCCAAATCGTCAAAATACAATGTGATTTACTGCCTAGCAGTAAGTTCTTCTTAACTGACCGTTTCCGATGATCCTACCAAGTACAATCTCCCACGGAGATCGTGAAATTCACGATCGCCAAAAAACTAGACCAAATTCGAATAAATTATGTTTGGCGTATTTAGGATTACATTCATGTGATTTGCATTTTTTCTATATATATATATATATATATATATATATATATATATATATATATATATATATATATATTATCAAGTTAAATCATCATGTTCCAGATTTAACACAAATATAGCCGATATATAAAGAATAATTTTTCATATTCATAACAAATTCAATTTAATAAACTGCTTGAAAACCCATTTAAATGAACTCAAAATGCTGAAAAATAGCATGATTCACTACATAGCAATGAGTTTTTCTCGTTAGATCGTTTTCGATGAACCTACCAAGTTTCAGGTCAATCGGAGTTCGTCAAATTCATGACCACCAACCTGTAACCAAACTTGGAGAGTAACAGTTTTTAAGCAGTTTTCATGAATTAAAATAAATATGATATTGATTTTCATTCTCCTTATAATTATACTATGATCTCAAGGACTATATTATGTTCTACCTATTTCTAGGATACATAAAATCTCCTTTTGCATTAAATTATCCTTTTATTAAACACGCAAGAGCCTAAGATATCATATTTTCTCCCGACCGGCGAAAACCCCAATATCTCTTCTCACGGATGGAGTTGGCCTCACTAGTACCCAAAGATAAAACTCTTTTCTAGTTAAAAAGCCACGCCACTAATGTAGATTTTGATAATTTTCACATGGTACATTAAGCAGATTTTAATGACTCTAATAAATAGATCATTTTGTGGATCTTACTGATTTTTCCATGAGTTCAAATAAACAAACCACTTTAGTGATAACTATTTATTACTCATAAAATTCTCAATTTACAAGAATATACATGTAGCTCATAAAATTATTTTATGGCAGAATATGGACCATAGCTTAAAATCCATACCAATAATAAGAAACTCATACAAAATACTATTCATATTTCACTTAATTACAACCTCCAACCAGAGAAGGAAATTCTTCATCGAAAATCCAAGACTACTAATCAAGTAGGGCATGAAGATATA